TGAAGGCGCCACTTAAAAATAGCTTAATCATGTGAATGCCGTTGGATCTACCCCTGGAAATAAGTCAGTTGAATAATACGCATGCAAAGCGAAAGTCTAACTGTGAATCACTGATCCGTTTTATCTAAGACATGTTTGTTATTTATGGCTTAGAAAATCAGGTTGAGATAAATGGCGGTTCAGCTTAGCTTGAGATGGTGCCACAATTTTGATGGAAAGCTTATCAAGGGCCCTTTTCCCTACTGCGCTGTAGATTCGCATGTGAGCTAGTGTGGCAGGTACAGTCTTATGCATGTCTAAGCAGTGGCGCCAAAATGTACAGTAGGGTGTCCGCTTAGTTCTGCGGCGTTTGTGATCGGTCTTCGAGGTTGCCAAGGTGGATACACCCAATCCTACTTTATTCCAGTATACGTCCCATTTCGTTCGTTTTCCTGCTTCCATGATATGAGCGTGGGCGGAGGGTTTTGGGACGCTGTTATTGGCATAAAATTGTTGAAATAAATGTTTAATCGCCCGCCATCGGTTCAGCCTTGAAATTCGGAAGGTTGTATTAGTCATATGATCGCGAATGAATAAGTTTACCTTTCAGGCAGTATATCCTGGACGTCTATAAAATGAGCAGCTTGGTGACACAGCATGATGCCCGCAAAGCTGGAGCTGAAGTTGTTAAACAAGTGGAGTTTCCGTTGCTTAGCGGTTTGTTGTATCCGTGTCTTCAAGTAGCAGGATATCCATGTAGCGTGTCCCCGAACGATTTGACATAGCCGTTTTAGGCATTGGACGAAGAGTATTTAAGTGTAGACGCGCAGTTCGGCGGCGTAGATCAGAGAAAGATATTCACATTTGCTGAGAAGGTAGGGACGGGTTGCCACTTTTTTTGTACATGTGTTTTCATTTAATCTGTCGTTTCCAGTACCTGCCTTTCGTAGGTTACAACAAACGGATTCATCTGATGAACCCAATGGGTAAGCGAATCTGCACTTTCTGCTTATTTTTTATTTTCTTGTTAAGTGCCTGGATTGACGGGCGATAAAATGAGTGCGTCTGTCGAAGAGTCGAAGATCGATTTGCTTGACCCGCCTTCGGTTGTGAAGAAGAAACTAAAGAAAGCTTTTTGCGAACCGGGCAACGTGATTAACAACGGCGTGCTGTCGTTTTGTCAGCATGTGGTTTTTCCGTTGCTCTCTGGAAGCGCCTTCGAGGTGAAACGTGAGGAAAAGAACGGCGGTGAAGTAGAGTTCAAAACGTTCGACGAATTGAGGGATTCATACGCAAAGCAGGTCG